CTGCGCCCTGGCGCGCGTCTTTGGAGTGCTGGCGGTGCACGGCGCAGAGCACGGGGTGGAGGACTTTTCTGTGAGCCAGACGATGCTGGAGGAGGTGATCACGGCGCCGGGGTCGGGCTGGGGGAGGCAGGCTGGGGGCCAGGCCTGTGGGCTGACCGCCCCTCTTGTCCCCTCTGGGCCGCCCACCGCCAGGTATTCTTGTACTTCTCCGAGGACCAGGGCAAGGACGAGGACGCGGAGGAGCACAAGGAGGCAGGAGCGGGAGTGGACCCCGCGCCAGGCCTGCAGCGCCCCAAACGCATCAGCCAGTTTCTCGATGACACTAGCACTGAGGAGACTGTGCTCTGAGCCTCCCTCCCCTGCAGGGCCGCGGGGAGGCCCTGGGAATGGCAAGGGCAGGGTAGAGTGCCCAGGCGCCCTGGACTTAGGCTGGCAGAGGGGCTGGTGCCCTGGAGAAAATAAAGAGAAGGCTGGAGAGAAGCGGTGGTGGTGAAACCATGTGCATGTGTGTTCTTGCGCCAGGCTGCACACCTGTCCACACAGCTGCCTGCACATGTGTGTGGATATGGCTGGCCCCTTGCAAGCTGAGTGTGCCCGTATAGGCCAAGTGGCGATTCGTAGGACACAGGTGTGAGTGTGTCGACAGCTGATGGACCCCAGCTGTAAATGCCTCTGTGGCCAGCCCAGGAGTTGGGGGTGCGAGTGCGGGTCTCATAAGGGCCTGGTCACCATCCCCAGGTCCTTGCATGCCCACGTGGGGCTGGCGCCTAAGGGCGGTACCTGTAAGTGCCTGGCCATGAAGTGGGGATGAGGTCAGGGCTCAGGAATGTCCTGGGAAGCTTAGAGGAGCCCACTGTCCCGGAGCACACGCCTCCTGGCCGGACCAGAAGCCCGTCCGACATTCAGCTGACCCTCACCCCCTGATCCCAGCCCTCAGAGCCATGAGTCGGGGGCAAAGAGTTCTCAAGGGTCTGCTAGGCTGGGTTTGCACTTGGACCCCGGCCTGGAGAGCCGGACTTGGAGCAAGTGGCCGTGGCCTTCATGTCCTGTGCCCCAGAGATCTGCCCCTCCCACCCGAGGTAGGTGGGAATGGGGTTTGGGAAAGAGGTTGGGGTTTTGGGATTGGGAGTGGGGTTGTGGAAGGGGACAGCAGGGAGACTTGGGGAGGGGAGAGAGTTCACACTGGGGGATGGGGGTTGGGGGAAGGTAGGAGGCTGGGATCTGTATGCCTGCAGATGCCCCAGCTCTTGGCCAATGCTGCCTCAGGCTGTTATCAGCAACGGGTGCCTGCGTCCTGCTGCCCAGCACGTCCGGTGGTCCGGAGCCACTGGAATGCAGCAAGGGAGGCGGGGCTGGGGACCTTAGCTAAGGGCAGTGCTGAGATCTGGGGCAACATGATACGGCCCTCAGGGCTGCTGAGAGGTAACCAGGTGTCCTCAGCATATTCTGACGATGGTGGGGTCCACACTACAGCTTGGGAACCCCTGTGCAGGCAGCCTAGGAGCGGGTGGACGCCGGGGCCCACAAGGACAGGGCCGGGTGAACTGTTCTGACTCTTCCTGGAAGTCTTTGCACCCAGGGCTTCGGTTCTGGGCCTCAGTTTCCCCACCTGTCCTCGACCTGGCCCACCTCCCGGGGCTGCAGGGCAGGTGATGGGGGTGACCCTACTCTGCCCTGCCCTGCTGGGGCCCGGCCACACCCTAGGGTCTGCAGGGGAGGAGGTGGAGCGGGGGCTTGCCTTCAGGGAAAAGGGGGCTGTAGGGGCGCAGCTTCGCCCTGTGCGTGTGTCTGGGGTCTGAGGGCGAGGCTCCAGGAGCTTGGTGGCGTCTGAGTGCGTGTGGAGGTCCGGGTCTCTGCGTGTCATCGTGCACACGTGTCTGTGCACGCCCAGTCGCGTCCGGGAGTGAGGGTCAGCGCCCTGCAGGCGGCCGCCCTGTGCCCGCCGAGGGCCACAGCGTCAGGCAGGGGCTCCGCGTCCCACCCCGCGAGCCGCGCGGCTCTGAGCTCCCGAAAGCGGAAGCGGGGGGCGCGGCCCGGGGCTGGGGGCGGGGCCTGCGACCTCACCTTCGCGCCCACTCCGCAGAGCTGCAGGCTGAGGCCGGGAAGGGTCGGGGGCGAGGCCGCGTCGCCGCCTCCCCGAAGCCTTTTCCTGTTGGGGGGAGGGCCCGCCAGTGACGGCCGGGCCTGTCACGTGGGCCTGACAGCTGGGGAGGGGGTGGCCGTCGACAATGTGGTCCCGAAGCGGCCAGCGCCGGGAGCTGCAGCGCTGAGACCCCCAGCCCGCCTGAACCAGCCCGCCCCCTCGGGCTCCCAGCCTGGGCCCCATCATGTTCTCCAGGAAGAAACGAGATCTCATGAAAACCCCTTCCATCTCGAAAAAGAACCGCGCGGGAAGCCCCAGCCCGCAGCCCTCGGGGGTGAGTGGAGCCCGGGCGCAGACCTGGAGTTGACACCGGCCGCAGGGGGACAGGGACCCGCCCTGTATACTCGGGGCCTATGCTGGGGCGGCGGCTCGGGGCTCGTGCCAGTTACAGCCCCTACCGGGCGGGACGGCGGGGGCCACAGCAGAGAGGCCGGGACCCCGGCATTCAGCTCACGGTAGGGACCCTGGGAGTGGTGGCCGCCTCCCTCCACTCCATCCAGGGCTGGCCGCGGGGCCCAGGGAGCAGGAAGGGAAGGTGCCGAGTTGGGACAATGTTGGGTTTGGGCCGCTGCAGGTTGGGGGCTTAGGCAATCTGGGGGCTCTGGGAGCCGTTGAGATGGGAGGGCTGTGGCCTGGCCATTGGGTTGATGTTTGACCGGGCAGCAGATCCTCTAAAGGGATCCACCAGGTTCAAGGGCTGGGGAGTGTCTCCAGACCTGGGGTGTCTGCAAAGCTGGGGGTCTACAAAGCTGGAGGGATCTGGGATGTCTACAGGCCTGGGGCTGTCCATAGGCTCTGGGGGTCTATGGACCTTTAGGGGTACAGACATAGAAGTGTCTTCACTTAAAGTAGCTGCGTTGTAGGAGCCTGAGGGGGGCTTGAAGGGTTGAGGACCCTCCCCACCCCCACCAGGAAGTGGGGACCCCCCTCCCGCGCCTCCCCGCAGGCCCCGCCCCGGCTGTGGTTTGGGTAGGGACCGTTGTTTGTGAAAGCTCTAGGGAAGAGGATGTTGGGTAACAGGTGGGGGGGGGTACGCTACCAAATCTCGGCCCTGTGACCTCTAGCCTTTGACCCCTATGGGGTCAGGGTGACGATGGCCCTCCACAGCCCCATTTAATTTCTGGGGAAACTGAGGCAGTGTCCAGGCCGGAAAATCCGTTTAACGAGCTCCCCTTGGACCTATCCAAGGAGCTGCCCAGGAAGGATGGAGTTGATGCCGTGTTCCCTGGACCAAGCCTGGAGCCATCTGCTGGGTCCTCCAGCACCAAGGCCACAGGCACCCTCAAGCGGCCTACCAGCCTGAGCCGCCACGCCAGTGCGGCTGGTTTCCCGCTGTCGGGTGCCGCCTCCTGGACACTGGGCCGGAGCCACCGGAGCCCGCTGACAGCTGCCAGCCCGGGCGAGCAGCCTACCGAGGGCGCCGGCCCAGACGGCGTCGAGGACATCTCCCATCTGCTGGCCGACGTGGCCCGCTTCGCTGAGGGCCTTGAGAAACTTAAGGAGTGTGTGTTGCATGACGGTGAGAGCCATGGGGACACGGAGGCCAGGGTGGAAGACAGAGCCAGACCCAAGGGAGGATGGAAGGAGGGACTTGGGGAGGCTCAGAAGGGAATGGCAGGGAGGGCTATGTGGAAGAGGCCATGACAGCTAAGGCTTTGAGGGATGTGTAGGAGTTTGGTGGGGGGAGTCTCTGAGTGTACACTGGCTCAGGAGGGTGCCCAATTTATTTATTTATTTTAAAGGATCTGATGGCAATTAGGAGGGAAAGGCAGAGGAAATGTCCCATGCATGGGCTCAGAAACATGGAAACAGAGAATGCATTTGGAGGCCAAGGTGTGGGGTGCCGCTGGTGTAGGATGAAGGCATGACAAGGCCAGGCAGAAGGGCAATGGGGAGCTATAGAAGGTGTTAGAGCACAGGACAGATGGGGGCAGATCTGTGTCTTGGAATGAAGCAAACTGGGGGTTGGCTGAGGTCTGGATGGAAAGAGATTCAGGAGGCACAGCGAGGGGTAGGATGGGGGCATCAGGCGGCTGGAGGTGCTGGGACCCAGAGGCCTGCAGGCCGGCAGTTCCGTTTTCTCCTCCACGCGGCCGCTGACAGCGCTGCTTCCTGCCGAGTTATTTTCATCTGCTTCCTGTTTGTCCCTGGCAGCCCAGGCGGGCACCTCATGTGCTGCCTTCAGCTCCCGGCTCCTCCTAGAAACCACAGTGCAAGGGTCATGCCAGGCGCTCTGATCTGCTCCAGGCAGGCGCCCATTTTACAGATGACGAAACTGAGTCTCTAGTGAGGCCCTCACCCCCGGCTCACCCAGCCAGTGCAGGGCAGAGCCAGGACTGGACCTCAAGTGTTGGAGTGGCCTCTGCACCTTCAGGGCGCTAGTTGGGGAAGGCCCGGTCCCCACTGGGAGGAGTGGGAGCCCCTGGGTTATCTGGTCCCATGGGCGGGGACTAGGCTGGTTTCCTGGGGAAACCCTAATCTCGGTTCCTTTCCGATCCTGGCGCTTCCTTGGAGGCCTGGCCTGGGCGGGGCTCAGCTCCCAGGCTCCTGCAGGAGGTCCGAACTGGGCCAGCCAGGGTGGGACACTTTCTTTTTTTCTTTTCTTTTCTATTGATTGATTGATTGATTGATTGATTGATAGATACAGGGTCTTGCTCTGTTGCCCAGGCTGGAGTGCAGTGGTGTGGTCGAGGCTCACTGTAGCCTCGAACTCCTGGGTTCAAGCCAACCTCCCACCTCTGCCTCCTGAGTACTTGAGACTACAGGCATGAGCCACTGTACCTGGCTTATTTTATTTTATTGTTTTTGAGATGGTGAGATGGAGTCTTACTCTGTTGCCCAGGCTGGAGTGCAGTGGCGTTATCTTGGCTCACTGCAACCTCTGCCTCCTGGGTTCAAGTGACTCTTCTGCCTCAGGATCCCAAGTAGCTGGGGCAACAGGTGTGCGCCACCACACCCAGCTAATTTTTGTATTTTTAGTAGAGATGGGGTTTCACCATATTGGCCAGATTGGTCTCTAACTCCTGACCTCATGATCCGCCCGCCTCAGCCTCCCAGAATGCTGGGATTACAGCAGGCATGAGCCACCGTGCCTGGATTTTTTTTTTTTTTTTTGTGGTGAGACAGAGTCTCACTTTGTCACCCAGGCTGGAGTGCAGTGGTGAGATCTCAGCTCAATGCAACCTCCACCTCCTGGGTTCAAGTGATTCTTCTGCCTCAGCCTCCCGAGTAGCTGGGATTACAGGCGAGTGCCACCGTGCCCGGCT